AAATAAAATCCACCATTCCATGCACTAAAAAATAAATTTTACCTTCAATGCGTTTAGCTTAGATCTCCTGCACGACTGAAAGTCTGTTTGGAGTTTAAGCAGTAAAAGCTTCAGGTTTCCTTCCTCACCAGCCAAGGACCAAACTAGTTTTTAAATTCATTCTTGTAAGTTTTGTCTTGTTCTCAGGTACCAGATTACCTGGAGTTTGTTAGCCAGCCGATGGACTTCTCCATTATGTGCTCCAAGCTGGAAAGTCACACTTATCGCTCCGTGGCTGACATGGAGGCCGACTTCAACCTGATGGTGTCAAACTGCCTCCTTTACAATTCCAAAGACACGGTGTTCCACAGGGCGGCACTTCGCCTTCGTGACTTAGGGGGCGCCATATTGCGCCACGCCCAACGGCAGGCCACAAACGCCGGCCTAGACTTGGACACGGGCATGCACCTCCCCGAGTCCCCCCAAAAAAGAGACTTTTACAACTGCACCTGGGAGGATGGTAGGTCTGAGTGTACTTACTGTAAACATTTCACATCTAATGTTTGTGTTAGCAGAATGCTGGTACCTGTGGGTTGTTATTAATGTCTGTATTTACAGTTAACCACCTCTGTTGTCATTCAATATAGTTGTGGAAAAATGTTCTACTTGGCCAGCTTCACTGTTGGATTAACACCTGATGTGTTCAGTTGACAGTGTTCTGGACCCAGAGAACAGACTCCACATGACGGTAGAAGAACAACTGAAGGAGCTGTTGGAGAAGCTGGACTTCGTCACGTCCATGMGGTGCAGCGGCGCCCGAACTCGGCGCATACGCCTGCTCCGCCGGGAGATCAATAAGATCCGCTACAGGCAGGGTCAAACCCCAAGCCACAGCAGCCACAACGGGTACCTTAAAGAAGAGGACGAGGACGAGGAGGACGAGGAAGACAACGACGCCAAGGCAGATAATACCCTTTCGTCTTCAGATAAAGGTGACGGATGAAAAACACAAAACTGCCAATGCATGAACCTTGAAAAGCTTTTTTTATTTTGTTAGTTTGTCAATGAGATCAGTTGTGAACATGAGCTAACGGAACATTGTCCTCAGGTAATTGAGCCAGGGTCCCCCCCATGCACCAACCCCAACCACCCCACTGTCTTCAGTCTAGTAAGTAGGGGTCCAGAGAGTCTCGTTAGCCATGGCTGCCTCACAACTCCTCTCTCCTAGTGCGCTCTGTGTCTGCACCTTCTTTACACATCACTCTCATGGACTCACCGTACTCGTTCGGCCACATTCAGCCATGCCATACCATCCCACTGCGGACTATAACCTGGTCCAGTCAGACCGTCACAACAACACCACACCCGTGGTTTTAGTCATTCTAAAAGCTGCCATGTTACCATGTTACTGGTGTGTTCAATGGTACAGTTGTGAGAGCAAACTTATTTGTTCACTGGTCTTGATAAGGTTCTCCTAACTCCTTYTGGGCTGTGGTTAGAGTGTAAGAATGAAAGTCTGTCATTACAGTGGTTCCATTTTCCAGTGTGAATACCGCACCACCACATCACACCACATTCACACTTAGATTCTGTCAAAAATTAAACGCCGGGTGACKTTAAACTATTTCTGTCTCCTCGTTTTCCAGAGGACCTCAAATCTGCTTCTCCCCCGAAACTGGAACCTACGGCCCCTTCTCCTCCTCCTCGACAAGGAGAACCACCTCTGGAGCCTCCTACTCTGCGGCCAGTCACGAGGGACCTCCGTTCCCCCACCTGGCCCAGCAAGCGCCTTAAGATGGAGCGTGAGCTCTCCGTCTGTAACGTAGAGAACAAGAATTGCACTAAAGCACAAGAGCGGTCGGCGACGCCGCCCCCCAGTTTGCACAGTGAAGCTCCGGCGGTGGCCAACGGCCTGCCAGCGCTCGGCGTCCCCTCGAGGCCCACCACCGGCGGAGTCGGGCGACGAACCTCCGTACTGTTTAGGAAAGCAAAGAATGGAGCCAAGCTTTTCAAAGAGAGAGACAACCCCGTGTTGAACGGAAAGGGGCCGCAGGACGAGAAGACGAGTAACAAGCCTACGGCACCCAGCTCCTCCACCAGCCCCCCMACTTTATCCAAGACCCCCCAGAAAAGCCCAGAGCCCCCCACACTTACTGAGCTATGGAGCCCTGGTCAAGACTCCAGTTCAGACACTGAACTGGAGAGGAGACTGGAAAGTGGTGAGAAGCTTAACGTTGTTCCTGAAATTAAATGCTTTTTTTTTTCTCCGACAAGAAAATTTAACAATCAGCACTCTTGTGATGTCACTCGTGCAGCGAGTTGCAACACAAAACGRCATGAAACATAAATAATTATTATAAATATAGGATTTTCCCCTGTATAACTAATTAAACAAATTATGGAATCACTTTAACACTTCTTAACAAACACTTGCATTAAATGGGACAAAATCTACTTTTTTATCTGTTAATTGCATTTTGTTGCTTGGAGTCTAAGAATGCAGAAAAAGTTGAATTTAGTCTTTYCAGGTGCTGCAAAGATATCTTTATATTCTGTTTGGGTCATATTTTTCAGCTTATTCAGTTTACTGACTTTTTCTGAACTATTATGTCAAATTATCTGTGACAGAATTGCACATTAAGGTTTTGACTTACTACAATTTTCTTGTCTTAATTCTCCTCTGGTTCTGGGTCAGACTCTGGCTCCAACATGTAAGGCTGGATGGACAAGTCTTCTGTTGTTGACATCTTTTAGTTAATTTGTAAATAAAACGTTTCTGAATGCTAGAAAATGCTAACCCCCTCCCTCAAACTGGAGCGGACCGGCCTGGAAGCCGAAGGGGGCGGGGCTTGAAGCACCTTAAAGGAACAGCATCAAATCCAGTTGCTTTGAGACACATCAGAAAAGAGGTGAAAGAGGAGCTGGTAAAGTTAGGAGGAATTCAGACCAAAGCATTAAAAGGATTTAAAAGCATGATATGTCTACTTCAAATAGCCTTGTAAATGAGTTTGTTGTTAAAAGTGTCTTTAGACCTTCAGGCAGTCACACTCAGCTGATTTATAGGGAAGAAACAACCCTAAATCTGTTATTTTTGTTCACTAATCATCTTTTTATCAGTAGTTTTATTTCACTGAGTCAGACCAGGCCAAGGATAACTGAGATTTAGTTGTTTTCCTCTTGTCTTTGTAATTTCAGAGGCAGCCGTTCCATTATCTCTTTGCTTTGTTTTCAGGACTGACCAACGGCTTCGACAGACACAAAGACAGCAGGTCTGACTCTGAGTCGAGCTCGTGTCCAGTGCTGCACAAAGAAATCAACTCACCACCCAAACGAAGCCTCGGGAAACCATCTCTTTCCAAAGTTCCTCTTCTTGAGATCGTCAATGGAGATTTAGATTACACTGGTACTTTAACCTGAAACCGGTTCTGTTCTGTGTTCATTTATTTTTATTTAAAAGTATTCAGTTGTTTTCTGTTTTCCTGAAGGCAACAGTAGTCAGATGTCAGAAGACGAGATGGAGCTGGAGCCTTTGGACCTGGTGTGGGCGAAATGTAGAGGGTATCCCTCCTACCCCGCTCTGGTGAGCACTTCCTTTGATCTATTATGAACACATGGTTACGTTTGTGGGAGGATCTAAATTCTGTTTTGGACTGCTGTTCCAGGTAATCGACCCAGARATGCCCGAAGAGGGTCTGCTGCTTAACGGGGTCCCCATTCCTGTCCCACCMAAAGATGTCCTCCGTCTGGGCGAGCAGAGACAAGAAGAGACTAACGAGAGACTCTACCTGGTTCTTTTCTTTGACAACAAGCGGACATGGTGAGTTGGATTTATTTTATTTCCATGTTTTGCTGTGATCTAGTTTCTTATTTGAGCTTCAACGTCTAGTAGAGGTTATTTTGGCTAAATTTAGTCCAGAAAGAGGAATTTTTTTTATTATTAATCAAAATGGTTCTGGTGCTTCAGCTGGTTTCCCAAAATTAACAGCAAGTAAGTGTTGTGTCAAAAAAAAGCACCATTAGGAATATTTTAAAATCACTTAGACTTCAGTTAACAATAATTACATTCTCACTATATATAATTAATCCACACACAATTTAAGTTTTCATTTTCTACCTTACATGACATTTATATTTGTTTAAATCTTAGTCACGTTTACAGAAATCATTAAAGTGTCTAAATCGTTTGTTTTACAGGCAGTGGCTTCCACGAGATAAAGTCACTCCTTTGGGCGTCGACGACACGGCCGACAAGTTACGCATAATGGAGGGCCGCAAGTCCAGCATCCGCAAGTCTGTCCAGGTGGCGTACGACCGAGCCATGATCCACCAGAGCCGAGTGAGCCACAACCACGGCTTTGTGACCTCCAACTACCTGTAGAGGGCGACCGTCAGCGCCCACGGACCGTCTCTATCCGTCGTTTTTCACGTGAAGCAACAGGTCGGTCGATTCCCACCACCGTGGTCTGAAGAGGGTCGCCCCCCAGCACTAAAGTCTCAGACTGTATTTAATCAGTGAACCACTAGTATTTGACACAGCAGTGATGCTGATGTGTTGTTGTTTAATGGACGGGTGAATGAAGTCGCTTTAGGCCCCGTGTTGCTGCATCAGTTGGCGTTAATTTCCCGTTCAGGGACGAATCAGGTTGTCAGATTACTCCACCTGGATGTCATTAATCTGCGTGTCTGCATGAAACGTCGAAGAATTCCAGCTGTTTTGTACAATTCTTCTGCCGAGGGAGCAAACCGTCAGAAAAGATTTAATGATACAAACTGCAGGAGTCTGATGAACAGATCACTGCCTTCTTTTATACAATAGCTTTTTTTTTTTTACATTTTATTCTTCTACAAAAGATTCTTGTATATTTTAATGCCATACTTATGTACATAGGTAAATGTAATATCAAAGTTATTTTAATTTAACGTTGCGGTTTTTAAATGCGTAATTCAATCAGCTCTTATTGGGCAAAGTGAGGCTATGTGTACTTACTGCAGTGTTCTGAGCTTGTTTTTAATATAAAATCTTTGTGTGCGTTTTATTGTGTATTTTAGGCTTACGACAAAATAAGACGAGGTTTTTTATATTTGAAATCTCTTTTTGATACAGAGAAGAATAATTTATTTATAGAAACAGAACTATAAAAATAAAGTTTTATTGATTAAATTGAGACTTATTTAAAACAAAAGGAGTTTTAATAAGCATTTAAGATTTTCATGTTTTTGTTTAAGACCAAGTTCTGTCTGTCACCATTGTCCTGTTTGATGAATTTATTTATTTTCCTTAGCCCCAATTAATAAGCTTGTACTACTGTCATATTTTATCTGCTCCCCCAATTTTGTCTCTTAACACTTTACTTTCTCATTCTGGGAAATAAATATTCCATTAAAAACATTTTTGTGTGTGTTTTTATCTTTAAATCCTGTCAAAAAAAACCTTCATATTCAAAGGCTGTGTTGGCTAAACATTCAAAAACCAAGACAAAGTAAATTTTCAACCTTATTTCTCCTTCCAATAAACTCCAGTTATTAGTCTGCACTTGTTGCTTTATTTTAAAATAACAAATTGAAAGGTAAAATGTACTTGAGCTGTTTAGGACAAATATAAAAACACTTACAAAAATATTTTGAGCAAATTTAAACATTTCAAAAGTAAAAGCTTTGTAAGTGCAGGACAAGTCCTATTACTGTATAAATCTTTCCATTTCATCACCAAAAAAGGTCTTGTATTCTGATAAGTTTTACACTGATGTAAAAAAAAAAAAAGAATTCCAGCTGTAATTTGTGCGTCTGCCCTTCATCTGTGCGCTCGCTGCTGTCTCGTCAGGAGGAGGTAGTTGTGGTGGAGGGTCTGTAACTCCGTCAGTCTGCCCAAAAGGCGACCGAACCGCTGTGGRCCCCCTCGTGCAGCTCCGCACTGGGCCCCACACACCCTGGACAGCAGGTCCAGGATCAGCTCCTGCATCTTCTCCACACAGCTGGCCGACTGAAGGGACGCCCGGTCTGTACAGTGGGGGCACGAAAACACACAAGTTCACAAGAAGATCTATAAGTCACACAAAATACAGGCTGACATCCAAATATATAT